ACATACGACCATAGCCCTTAGAGAATACGGGATCCCGTCTGCTCTCCCATAGTCAAGCTGAGGAGCGCTTGAGTAGTAGTTGGGTCGGTGACGACCAGCGAATGCCGAGTGTTGTATGTTTTCTTTTTGTGGGGGAGTCTATGCCAATACTTTGCCCAGTTTTTGAGATTTCTTATTAAGAAATCTGTGTATATAATCAGTATCATGGTAATTTGAATTCCATTTTCGGAAATCTGCAAATGCGACGTTCTCAAGAACGTGGTCGCCCTTCAATGCTGTTGAGCAAATTTTGGAGAGCTCTCTATTTTACGGTATTTTAGGACGTTACGATCACTCTCCCTTGGAAAAGGGAGCAATGCTGAAGTCGTCGGATCATGTTGCTTTCATAAAGTGACTTTTTGTGATGCCGCAAATGCCCATCCAACCAACTCCTCTCAGAGTTCCACCCCACTTACAGCCACGTACCTTGCTGGGGTGGGATGGTTCCCTCCCCAAGTAGCAAGTTTTGAGCCTCTGCTAGGATCACGGGAGATAGGTTTGCATAGCACGTGATCTTCGCTTCGACAGCTTTGACATCTCGACCTACGAAGAAGAGTTGGAATGCTTTGAAGATACTCAAGCTCCCTTATGAGGTCCAGCCGTTCTGGCAGTCGAACAACCCGAGCCACTTACCGTTCACTCACCACACCAGTTTGTGTCTTCCACAGGGAGGGAAAGAAAAATAAGGGCAAAGTCAGGATGATTAAGATTTAGAGTCTACGAAGTGCGTTTGGCTTGTGGATATGTGTACGACCCAACACCGTGACTTCGGGACATATGATCTGTCGAGCGAGAATTCAGGTGATTTTAGGGCTCAGCACCGTCCCAGAAACCAAATAACCCATTTCAATCTCGTACACGTGATTGTCTTTTCAAGACTTGGTATGGCAGTCCACCTGTCGGCGAAACCGCGAAGGTTTTGGTTACTAAGTTTGCCCAAAGCAAAGTTGGCCGAACTTTGTCTGACACTGCGTCATAGCAACACGGCATGTTAACAGGGTGGAATGCAAAAAGCCATCATTGGCTCCTCCAGAGAGCGCCGACAACTTGAATGCATTTGCCCCTCATGCACCGAAGCTGTGGAGGGGTTATAGCTGTCAAATCTGAGGTCGCTCAATGTTGTCATACAGCAGCCTAGCCAACGATGCGGAGTTTTTCAGCCGGTGGAACCACTATGCTCCCCTAAAATCGGGGGTGCTGTAGCCACCAACGTAGTCTAAAGCGTTACGCTAGTTATGCACTGGGATCGACCGAGCGAGATAAGCGAGGTTCTAAATGTGGCTTCATCAGGTACAAGTATAAACGATACCAAGACTGCATGTCTCTTAAAGCATATGCGTCCCAATATTTGCTAACATGCCAGGCGATCCGTGACTTCCTGTGTAAGTGTTAATCACTGCGGGCAGGTGCCACACCCCAAATGGCCTGTGCGCTCTACTCTGGTTTGTTCTCATGACTTTCGCTGTTGCTTCGAGCCACGGCAAGTTTGTCAACAAACATTCCAATTTATTCCGCCCACAGGACTTTTCGCTTTCTCCTCTGATACAAAGCGGTATACCGTCTGCCCCCTCCTTCGTCCCTCCGTCCCTCCGTTTCCCACCTTGCAGCCCCGACGTCTGTTCTCGATCCCCCAACACCGCGTTCAAGACATGTCAAACCTCGGCCTGCCCGGGCCCCCTGGCCCCAACGAAGGCTCTCAAGAAGTCGAAGAAGGCTGGGTCGTCGAACCTACTACTGAAAATATCAGAAAAACGCTCAAGAAGAGGTACCCAGGCTCCGACATCGTGGTCGAATTCTTCTCCGAAGGCGCCTACAACAAACTCTACCAGATCACAATCAACATACACACGACCTATCTCCTGCGCGTTTCACTGCCCGTCGACCCCATATATAAGACCATGAGCGAAGTCGCCACTCTCGAATTTGTCGCGACTATCAGCGATATTCCCATTCCTATGCCCGTCTTGTTTGATTCAACACGCCACTCACCCATCGGGTTGGAGTGGATTATGATGACCAAACTTGACGGTGCGACACTGCACAACATATGGCCGCGCCTCGAATTCGTTCAAAAGGCATATGTCGTTCGTCGGATTGCATTGTTTCAGCTCTCTCTCTTTCAAAGGAGATTCTGGCGCATCGGCAACCTCTACCGAGAATCACCTCTCCAACCGGAACGCATCGTCTCAATACCATTCTTTCAGGGCCGAAGGGCATGGATTGTGAACAATCGCGGGCCATTTCCGAATAGCAAACAGTGGATTTACGCTCGCCTGCACCTACAGCGACGCGATGCAGCGCATATCAGGATGAAGTACCGTACACAAAATGGGAATGGACCTTTGACACGTGAGGACTTCGATAGGGCGGGACGTACCCTCGAGCTCGCATCTCGGCTCTACCCTTTTATCGCCCTTCTCTTTCCCGGGAATGGAAATACCTTTGAGCAGACAGTCCTGCACCATGACGACCTCCACGCCAACAACATCCTCGCCAACGATTCAGGAATCGTCACCGGCGTCGTCGACTGGGAATGTGTGTCCGCCCTGCCTCTCTGGAAAGCCTGCTTCTACCCAAAATTCCTTTACGCACCTCCACGACACACTCCCGAGGAGGATCCCCTCCAAGATCCAGATTTGTTGGCAGTGCAGGACAGATTTTTGAGGGCCGTGTTTCTTCAGGAGATGGAGCTTCAGAGCCCAGAATGGATGCATATTTACAGAACGAGTGTACGCCAGCGTGATCTTAACTTTGCTGTCGATAAAATCGGCAACGAGGACAAGCAGTCACAAATCGAAGCCTGGTTAACAAATCTGGAGAGGGGACAGGCAGAACCCAGTCTGCTTGATACCACTTTCGGACTTTGAGTGGACGACGTTTTGACTGATCGATGCGCTGTTTCTTATTTTGCTTGCGGGCACAGTTCAAAGAGCAGGACGCATGTCACGTAGTTAACGCATCGATCATTTGCATACCAGCTATCAAGCGTGCAAGTGACCTGAAGGTTGGGTATTTGGCACAGCGGACTCCATATTTATGACTGAGAAGTAGTCTATTCCATTGGGCGTACAGGAGAATGGCGTTTGTTCGGCGGCCTTTTGTGCGATGGTCTGACATGAAAATTAATATTCACATTTGAACCTATGTGTCTTTAATGTCTCCCATCACGTTATTGGAGGTGCTCCTGAACAATACTTTCAACAGTATCGCAATGATCAACCACAGAGCCGAGGTGACGGAGAGCTTTGGGATTGGTTGCCATGTTGGGGTGAAGAAGAGAGGGATAGCAAGACGTAAAGAGGGGGAGTGAAGCTTCCACCACGTGACACAAAGACTTTGAATTCTCCAGAAACGGTGGTTTTTTACTATCTCTGTGACTGATCTGACTGGCCAAGATATCAAAAAAGGTTACAGTTATCCATCATTCATGAAGACCAGAAAGGTTACAAGCGGACGCCGCTACGATTGGAAACGAACATAGGGAGCTGTTAGGAATCTGAAAGTCAATTAGCCTTACGTTTAGGAAATTTGGCACTATTGGACTACTTTTACATATAATGGTCTAAAAAGCGCAAAATCTTTGATTTCAAGATGATATAAGAGTATGGCTGTTTGGATGGACTGCTACGCAGATCTCTATGCTGATGTAAGATTGCTGCCTTCGTTTCAAACCCACGTTGTAAGCATCGGCAACGGAGAAATATCATCTTGACTTGACTTGCGAAGACAGCATAAGACCGGTATGCATATGTCGAATATTGCTACCAAATTCAGCAGTCATCAGCAGAATACCCACCTCGTTGACCCATGGAGGCATGGACATCCGAGTTCTGTCGGCGAGGCGTCGGCTTTCATTCGAGCTGCTCTACTCCACTCATCCTATTTGTGAAACCTCGTATAAGTCCCAGTCAGCCACAACTACAAACATGTAAGCATATGTGTGATTGGGCAAGGTTGAAGAAAAAATACAATTGGATCAATCCTCATGACTGTGTCTTAGAGCGCCGGAAATCTCCGATTGGAGTATAACAAGTCTCACTTTAAGTCAGCCTCAAGTCGTGCGACTGTGGATGCTATCGTGCACTTGGCGTAATCAAAAAGCAAGGTCAAGACTCGTAATCTACACTTTATCATATCTATATATTACAACACATGACGACGCCTCTGCTTTTGTGTTACACGAGGAGGCTGAGACTGACTCCGTTTCTACTGTTCAGCTGACCACGCCAGGCTCCAAAGGGACTTTTGAGACTATGCACCTCGGTATTCCACCAACACACTTCGTATTTTCAGCTGTATACAAATATGCAGGCTTGATTCGACAGAGAGAGATAGTGTCAGCCTTACAAGTGGGGCTGGGTATGTGACTCGCGTCGTGTCCTGCATCCGAGACATGTCGTGCACTGTAATGGCTGTGCTCGTGACAGTTCGGAAACTTTCAATTACCGTACTGATGTCCTCATATTTAATACCACCAGCAGACAAAATGTTCCAGCTTTATACCAGTCTTGACAAATATTCTCAAAATGGCTCTCATTGATCGTGTCTGGCATGCCTGCGTCACTATTGTCGCATGGCTGACCATGTCGCCAGCATCCGACTACTCAAACTCGTATCAGCATCCCCTCGGTCGTCCCGCAACAAACATCAAGCAGGCGGATCCTGACTTTCCTATCTTCAAGCCCCCTCCTGGTGAGACAGGTGATCATGAGTTTGTGTGCGAGTATCCAGAGATGACTGGTTTCGTCCAGTGTTCCATCCCAGAGAACAGAGAGTGCTGGCTTCGTCACCCTGATGGACGGGAGTTTAACATCCATACCAACTATGAGGATTTTGCTCCAGTTGGAATCACCCGCAACTATACCCTTAACATTACCGATAGTTCGTTCAATGCTGACGGTCAGAACTTTCCTGAAGCTAAGCTGTTCAATGGAATCTACCCTGGTCCTTGGCTAGAGGCCTGTTGGGGAGATGTTAGTAACGACGCGTTTGCAGTGTTGAAGGCTTGGCTAACAATGACAAGACCTTGAACATCACGGTGATGAATAGCATGACCAAGAATGGTACCAGTATCCATTGGC